GAGACTAAATAACAAATGAAGAAAACACATGTTAAAATATAAAACACTAGAATATATTTTCACTCGGGTGACACAAAGGCCATCCTTGGTAAAAATGAACTGCTAAGTTCTTTGCAACTCCCCAAGTATGGATTTAATGTAAAACACATGCATCTCTTGAAACAATTTCTTTGCTAATAGAAATTATTTTCCCCAAATACTCATCCATCAAAAAGAAAGGTGATAGTATTGATTTTTATAATTCTTATTCCTGTTACATCTATAAGCAATACAGGAAAAAAAATCAAAGCCCAAAAATATTTGGCAATGATGATGAAGTTTTAATTTACTAATGCAGTGGTTTGAAAGATCTGTGCCAGGGCATGCTGAGCAATAAATCCACGCAAATAATGACTGGAGAAGAGTCATACACAGGGAAGCTTTGCTAAAGTTAACATTTTTAAATATGAGAATAATTTCATTTTTTAGTAAAATTTGTTTACATCATTTTTTTTTTTTAGAGATTGTAAGTTCACACCTCTACAAATGAATGTTTTTACCCCATGTTTTTACTCCATCCGGCCACCCTCCCCTTTGGGTTACCTCAGTTTTGCTGTCAGTTGTCAAGGATTTGTTATTGGTTTGGTTTTGCCTCTTTGCTTTGTTTCTCTATATTCCACATGTAATGTAATGTAAATGACATGTCATGTAAATGACATCCAGAATTTGTCTTTCTCCTTCTGACTTGTTTCCCTTTGCATAATTCTCCCCAGTTCCTCCATGCTGTGGCAAATGGCAAAAGTTCATCTTTTTTATAGCTGAGTAGTATTCCATTATATATATAAACTAAATCTAATCCACTCTTCTGCCCTTGGCCACTTAAACTGTTTCTGTGACTTGGTTATTGAAAATAAGCCTGCAATGAGTAGAGGAGTGCATACTTCAAAATACAGGAATGGTCTATAGAGGGTTAACTATATATTTTCTTAAATGTACATAGTTGTAGATAAAACCCTTATCTGAACGGGCAACAGTGTCTTACCAGACAAGGCACAGATACGACTTTTTTTTTAAATCACATCATATTCACACTCCCAAGGAGCTGGGAATGGTCTAGTTCATTTGATTGTTGTGACAACCCTAAGGAGTATTCTGATACAAATTTGTATTCTGAACCAAAAAAAATTTTTTTAAATGAAACAGAAACAACAGAAATTCCAAAATGACTGTTGATCCTTTGTTCTTTCAATTTTAAAGCAAATAGCCAAAGTTATTTACCTTTTTTCTGATGCATCCAGAGTGCCTGGTGGGTCAGATTTTACCCTGCAATTGCAAAAAAAAAGTAGACACTCAGCCGGTGGGAGGCGGGTGAATGGGAAACAGAAGTGGCTAATAATTTAGTCAGATCGAAGACAGAATTTTAAAACTTCGCTTTTTACAGAAGCCGATGGTATGTGTCAGATCTATGACTGTGACTATGAGTTGCTTCCTGGGGACTGTGGCGCAGGATCCTGGTCAGTGTGATATCATAGACACAGTCCTGTGGCACCTGTGTTCAGAGCCACCTGCGTATACTTTTTGTTTACAAGAGGTCCTGCCTACTCCTTAGGGTTGTCACAGCAATAAAATGAACTATTAAATAAGACTATTCACAGCTCCTTGGGAGTGTGAGTATGATGTGATCCCAGGATTTGTTTTGTGGAGTTTCTGAGATCTCTTTGAACCTTCACAACAACTCTTTAAAGTTGTTATTCCCATTACATAGATGAGGAAACAGAAGCTTAGAGAAAACAGAAGCTCCAGATCACACACTACTAACTAACAGAACTGGGATGAAAATTTGGATCGGATTCAAAAACATTCGGGAATAATTAGATATGTGCTTTTCCAATTTCCCTAAAACAAGTTACCTGCCTCTTTCAGTAGCTTGTGTTCCAGCTGGCAGCCCCAGGCCCTGTTTGAATAATTATAAGTCAATTCTTACTTAGGAAGCAAGCCTTAATTATCACTGAGGGACAGAAGGCTGGATCTTCCAGGAATCTGCAGACCCCAGCATGAGGCAACCACAGGTCTTTGGCAAGAGATCACTTTTCAACAACATTGTCAATTCCAGAGACCCCCGACCTTCCACCTGCAGGTCCCTCAACAGCTGCGTTTCTGTGGGAAGTGGGGTGGAGGGGGCAGTCTAGTCTGTCTTCCTTCAAAAGGCAAAAGCATACCTCTCCCCCACCCCACTGAGATCCCACCTGGGATTTCATCCCCCAAGCAGGGGGTCATCTCCCACATGGAGAAATTAAGGGGAGAAAAGGACGGAGGAGAACAGTTTTGACAACAGACCTAACTCTCCCTTTTAATATAAGCCAGATTTAACATATGTCATTCTGTAAATCTGAGGGTCCAATTGGAGGCTTGTAATTTGCGGCAACCTTCCCTGTTCCTCAAAGCGAGGTGGAGCTTTGCCAAGCACATCAAGGTAACCGGTGGAAGATATAATTTGCCCACTGTGAGTCTGCATTCGGGTTCCCTATTGTAATTTTTATTTGTGTTGAGGTTTTGTGGTTTTTAAAAGTCAACTAGATTTATTTTAAAATTAAGGTGAACTAACATCAAAGGCAGTCAGAGGAGGATGTTTAGGTATTACGGAGAAACCCTGTGTCATCTTTTCTAGCCATGTTCTTTTCCAGGGCACGTATCAGTGAGTGGTTACGGGACCTTTCGTGACCAGCTTGTTACATTTCTCTGACCTTAAACTACCCCCATGGGTGAAAATCCCTTTTCAATGGGATTTAGAAGGCCCCTCTTTCCTCCTCCTCAGCCTCTTTATCTAATCCTGTTTGTAACAAGACATGTTGCATGAAGAACGAAAAATATGGGCTTAAGCTCTTTCTCAGCTCCTGAGCTACACGAGCCTGAATCTGCCTGTTGTTCCGTTTTAGATATGAGGAACCCTTCAATCCAAAATGAGACCATTTGGTTCATGAATCATTTACTTGATAAGAAGAGGAAAGTGCATATTAAAAGTTCATTCTTAGAAAGAATGACCGGGGCTACCGGAAGAGCTTGTTTTTTAATGCCACAATATTTTTTTCTGACCAAGATACTTTGTAGAGTATGCTTATATATTGACTCCTGTAGGAAACTCCTCAGTTCTAAGCACTTTCAAGTGATAAGGAGAGAGAGAGAGCGGGGTCGGGTGGGGGGAGAGAAGTAGGTGGAGAGAGAGACACAGATAAGTAAGGTGGAATACATAGATAAATCAATTTCTTCCTCAGAACAACTTTTTAGGAAGGTGCATTTATAGAGGAGCAAATTGAGCCATACATGCTTTTTTCACTCTATAGATCTGTCCTTTAAAAGACAGTTGACATACGCTTCTGATCACAGCTTGTACACCTTAGAAACAGTGTCTTCTGTTTCCAAATATTATATCAGTCTTTGTGCTTTTACACTTTCAGTTAACCATCGCTCTTACTGGTCATCAGGCTACCTTTCTCTACCAAAATATCATTTTCAATTATCAAAAGAGAAACCTGTAAATCCCACTGGCAGAAAAAAAAAAAATGTATTATAATGGGCAGCATTTACATAGCTCCACGTGCATGGAAATCCCCGTGTTTCAATCATGTATCTCAGGAATTCTGAGTTTGCCCCATGGGAAGCAGGCCTAAGGAAACCAATGCGGTTAAGGCTTCTGAAGTCACTGGGCTCCCAGTGACTGATTGTTTCTCTAGTTTTCTGATATAAGTGATGATCTTCAGCCATCATTGTCCACAATATTTCACTGATGGGCTTTTCCCCAGAACAAAAACTGGTCATCAAATTTCTCAACCAACATAGATGGGTGCTTGTTCTGTGAGACTTGCTATAAGGTTGTGATTCATATTAGAAGCAATTTCAGATATAGAAACATTCCTCATTTTACATTTCTTCCATTTTATTAAAGCAAATGGACTTAGGCTAACTTTGTTAATCTGAGGAAGTCATTTAACTTTACAAAACTTCAGTCTTTTCAGTTGTGAAATGGAAATGACAAATTTCCCAGAATAGCCAAGATAATTAAATTAATTAAATGGTCAATAATTTTTTTTAATATTAAGCAATTTCTATTTTCTTACTAACATCTAAGGAGAAGGTTCAAGTACATTATAGTCTGTTGGAGAGGTCAGATATAAACAAGAGAATTGCTGTAACGTGAGGTGGCAGCATTTGATGGTCAAGGGAGTTAGGTAAGGCTTCAAAGAGAAAGACGTATTTTATGGGATCCTAATGAGCCAATTGGACTCTGCAAAAGATTAATATAGGCTTTCGAATTGACCTGTTCCTAAACAAAAGACCCACTTCCTTGTGATTAACAAAAATTATGCCCTGTACTTACATTGATTTGTCTATAAAATAAGGTTTATTGGCAAACGTGGATATTGCAAAAGTAGACTTAGTTATAATTCCAGAAAATCTAATTAAATTTCTGATATCTAAAACAAAATGTTAGGAATGATTAAAAGCTCATAGAGACATATTGATCAATAAAATAATAAATTCAAGAAAAATATGTTGGGGGTGTGCTCATACCTCATGAAAGTATCATTCCTCATTGCATATGTGTAACTATATTTAATATCTTAATTAACAATAACATTTTATTGAGTTAACACCATGATGAATTTATTCCCTTGTACATTACTGAGTTTTATCTGTAGATTTGTAACATAACCATGACCGTCTTGATACGTGTTTGTGCCTTTTATCTAATGAACCAAAATAAGTTTGCATGAATTACAATTTTAAAAACCAGTCCTGGTTTTATAAGTTTGAATCCATATACCCTCAGAGGATGTGCTGTTTGGAATGGTAAAGACTTCAAATCTTATAAATACAAGGAAAAACCCTGGGAGAGATCTGTTAGCAGTGTCTAAATAATCTTTCTTAGATGATCATTTCACAACCTTTATTTAACTCAAGATATTTCTCTAAATGTCTAAGTGAAAAATGTATAGTAAAGATTCCTTTCTGGATGTTTTCAGAACTCCTAGTTACAACTATGCACCAAATATGGATAAACACTGGATTATGCAGTACACCGGACCCATGCTGCCCATCCACATGGAATTTACAAATGTTCTACACCGCAAAAGGCTTCAGACTTTGATGTCAGTGGATGATTCTGTGGAAAGGGTAAGCACGTGAATTTGCCTCATTGATAGGTTTCGCTGCAGCTTTCCTTGTGTAGACCTACTCCTGCCAATCTTCTTTTTGTTTCTCATTTATTTTGAGAGTGAGAGAGAAAGAGAGAGTTCAATGACTCTTTCATCCTGTCACCCCTTTTGTCTACTTCTCCAACCTTGGTTCTTACGGATTCAGTGACAAAGAGAAGATAAAAAATCAAAACACTATAAATCAAGGACTACGCCTTCAGGAATTAATGTAATAATGAAATAACTAAAACAGGTCCAGTATAAAGCAATAAGAAATGGTGGGGACTGGGGTGAAGTGGAAATTATCTGTCACATATAAAGCAAGTAGTAACTACTCAGTCACAACTAATATTTGCCACATGGAAACATGGATCCAGATCTTCTCACTTTTTAAGTGAAACCAGAAATACAAACCTTTTATTTGAAATTTCCTGAATTTTAAAACATAAGCCAAAAAGAGACCTGTCTAAATGTTGGATCTAACTGGACTAGGTTCAGAGGCAGCCTGTTTTTAACCCTTGAAAACTAAATATGCGTGGTGGTTTTAAAATGGATTTTCAAAGTAAAACATGTACTTTTGGTGTTGAAGGTTGTTTTATGGCTTTTTTTCCCCCAAGTAGAAGAACAAAACCTTTAAGCAGAATGTGCCAGATTCAAAAGAGTTGTATTTCAACTATATTATTGAACGTTTTCTTCCAGGATTATAAGCTACAAGAGAATGTAGATCATGTTTGTCTGTCTTATTAAAGTAACTCTTGCCTTTTAAAAGCAATGGAAAAAAGATTTAGGGAAATCAGGAGAATACTTTTGTCCTATTCTGCCATCACAATTGCTTCTGACTTGTCTTTGTGCTGTGTTTCAGCTCTATAATATGCTGGTGGAAACAGGGGAGCTGGAGAACACGTACATCATTTATACTGCCGACCACGGTTACCATATTGGGCAGTTTGGACTGGTGAAGGGGAAATCTATGCCATATGACTTTGATATCCGAGTGCCTTTCTTTATTCGTGGTCCAAGTGTAGAACCAGGATCAGTGTACGTATTTCTCTGTTTGCACATTCCACTGTCGTAGTTCATGTACATCTGATATAATTCAATTACCAATCTCAGTGTCTGGTTTCCTTTCTTCCAAAACAAAAAAGGGTGTCTGTAGGGTGGTCATTTAGAAGATGAAAACCCACCCGACCCCCATCTCCTGCCCACCACATGTTAAATTAACCAAAGTGTACTATTTAAAGAGAAGGAAAAATAATGCTATCAGTGACTCATTTTCTCAAATTGGCCAGGACCCATGGCACATGGTCTCTGTGTCATATTCACTCACAGAATGTGACTTCAGGTGTGTCATCCCCACCTTTTGTGAATCAGAGATACAGTCTTTAAAAAAAAACAACAAATGCCATGCTCAAAGTTGTATTTTTTTTTTATTTTTGCTAAAGAATTTTTAGAGAAAATTAAATTTAAAAATGCATGATTTTCTGTTAAAAGAAAAGAGGTCCGAGGGCCCAGAGTTTTGTTTCACTAGGCAAGTCACTGTATCCTTTTGTGTCTCAGCCTTCTCATCATAAAATGGGTTTCTTATGCCCTGCCAGTCACAACAGAATGATTTCATAAAATGAAATCACATTCATGAAACACTTGCAGGAAGAATGTAAAGAATGAGTGCAAGTAGAAGTCAAAAACTAAAGGACCCTTAAAGAGCATCTAGCCTAGACCCCTGATTTAACACTAAAAAAACTAGGCTGACGGAGTCAGAGCCTCTCGGGATCCCCGATCGTGGCAGTGGCCACATCAGCCTCGAACCCAGGTAGTCTGACCTTTATTCATGTGCCTCAATTGCTGCTGCTTTCACTGAACTAAAGGTCGAGGGGGTTTCTTTGAAAAATGTTATTATGTCTCTTCAGATCCTTGGAAACAGATCATTCAAACACTTCAGAATAAAAGTGTCATATCTCAAGTTGAATTTATGTTTGAAAGACTAGGTAGCATAGATTGGATTCAACTCTAAAAACCTCATGCCCATTTTTAGAAGATTGATTTTCAAACTTCAGTTCACCAGAAGAGTTATGGAATATCAGGTTTTAGAAAAATGTCTACATTCTATACAACCCATTCATCAGGTTATGAATTATCTGAAAGTACAGCCAGCACTGAAGGACGTAGGCCCCTCTCCAGCCTGACCCCTGTGAGCAACAGTCGTCCAGCTCTGTGCCATCGCTGCTGACATTCAGCCATCCTGACCTGAGGCCGCTACCCATCCCTAGGAGACCAGAGGAGATGAGAGGGGGAGAAGCTTGAGTCGATGAGCCATGGTGTGGAGAAAGCAGCCCTAGGCCTCACTTTCCTTGGTACTGGTTCTGGGGCCTAACTGTCCATCCCATTGCAGAGTCCCACAGATTGTTCTCAACATTGACCTGGCTCCTACCATCCTGGATATCGCTGGGCTCGACACGCCTCCTGACGTGGACGGCAAGTCTGTCCTCAAACTTCTGGACCTGGAAAAGCCAGGTAACAGGTGTGTCCATTTTCTTTCCATCGGCCAGCCGCAAGCACACTGGTGCCCAGAGCCAACCAGCAGCTGAAAGAAACGGAGGCAAAATTTGCTTTGCCCATGAGGAACACATTGAGCTGAAAATTTCTCAGCTGTTTGTGAGCAGCATATTGATGGAAATGCAGTCATGGTCTGCGGGAAGGGAGAGGTGTTTCTTTAAATAAACTGTTAGCACAAATCCATTTGGAAAAACATCCAGATGCCAACAGTAAATATTATTATTTTGATTTCAGGTTTCGAACAAACAAGAAGGCCAAAATTTGGCGTGATACATTCCTCGTGGAAAGAGGGTAATTATTGGTTCCTGGGGTGCTTCTGGGAATCAGTCCTAGTGGGCAGCTCTCCCTGCGGGGTGTTTTCTCCCCACATTTTTTTTTCTGGCTTACTAAGCATGTAGATTTCGTAAACCTAGTCACAAGATTGAATGGTTTGCTACTCATTCTCTGCTGACCAGCAGAGTAATGGTTGTTGCATCAGAACTGTAAAGGACAAATTTACTAGACCAATGCCCTTATGTGGTATGGATTTTCTATTGCATGTTTCAGTCTTGGTTCCAATTAATTGACTTTCTCAACTATACTTCCCAAATCCTCCTGGCACCCTCCTTTCTACTTCTCCTTTTGTGTCTTTCCTAGTTTAATATATACAAGTTTGTGAGATTGTAATTGCTCCCATGATTCTGGCCTTCCCCTTTTGATTTATAATGCTTGTTGTCTTGTTATTCTCTGTACAGATGTTCGGTGAAAAAAATGTGTAATTTTTTTTTTTTAAGAAACAGAACTTTGAGTCTGTAAAACTAAACACTTTTGTCCCAAGTTTTGAAGTCCATAGTTTTGGGGAAAATGAATCTTCCTGTTCTGCCTTCTCATTTTCATAGTGCCTAATATTCCCAGGGGGCTCACAAATGTTTATCTGTGGACAGAGCCTTATCATCTATTCTTGCTGTTGTGAGAATGTGAAGTTTTTTTTTAAAGATTTATTTATTGATTGACTCAAGAATTGGGGTACAGGCCAGATGCACGGGAGGGTGAGAGGATTCACCAGAGACAGAGTGGGGAACAGAACAGGCAGACAGACAGAAACACACTGCTGAGGGGAGCAGCGGGCGAGACAGGAGAGGTCTGCTGCACCATGTGGGACCCTCGCCAACTGGCTGGGATCGAACCGGTGCTGCAGAGGCTGCGGACAGCTTCACAGCATGGCTTTCTACTGCCTGCGCCACATGGGGAGGCCCGAGAATGTGAAGTTTTATGACAGGGACAAGAAAAAGAACAGGCAAGACTTGGAGAAGGTGATTCAAATCACTTCTGACCAAAGAAACTTTTTCCCTTTCTAAGAAAATTTCTACGAAAGAAGGAAGAGTCCAACAAGAATATCCAACAGTCAAATCACTTACCCAAATATGAAAGGGTCAAAGAACTGTGCCAGCAGGCCAGGTACCAGACGGCCTGTGAGCAACCCGGGCAGGTAAGTGACATCGCTTTTCTTCACCACTTCTCACATGCTTCCCAAATTCTAATTTAAAAGATTTCAGCATATAAGACAATGTTCACTTGTGTGTAAATAAGCTTCTCATAGTGGTCATGGAATGCTCAAATTGACCTCTCCCCTCACTGAGAATTGTCTACCTGATCCACACTGGGCCTCCTATTTACTGCTTGGTCTTCCTCCAGTTCAAAAAGGTGGTGCTCTCAGAGAGAGTTCTAAATATCAACCCAATTAGCCAATACTAGTTCAGGACAAAAGATATGGGAAATGGATAGCTGACTTAGAAACATGAGAGACTGGTGCCGTCTGAGGAAAAGTCACCATCCACAGGGCTTCTGTTAACTGATAATCAAGAAGGGCCAAGTGTCAAGAGGCTACTTAATCAATCTCATGGGTAGATGCTGGGCCTCTAGGCTGTAAGCCACCCAGGAGACATGATAGGATCTTCCCACCCTGGACTAAGTCAAATGTCATCTAACCCAGAGAAGAGGATGGAATCCATGACCAAGATTGGAATAAAAGAGGAAACCATATTCTTGTTTATTTATTGTTTCTACTCCTCACGGAATTTCTGACGTTAAATATTTCATTAGAGTGAATCCTCTTCATTAATCCTCTTACATTACTGTAACAATCAGGACAACAATGTATCATTGACTATCACTTAGAACTAAAGAAATGGTTTAGGCCGGCTTTTAAAAGAGTGGGAACAGATGACCACAAACTAGCTAATATATTTTTGATTGAAATCTATATTAGAAGAAATGCTGTGTCATGATGAGAGGCAAAAACTATTGAACATGTGTCGTATGAAAGGCTCTGAACATGTAGTTTTGTATATATTAGCTCAATTAAATCCTCACATCCAGTGAAGTAGTCATTACCATCCCCTTTTACAACTCTGCAGCTGGTGGGTGACCAAGCTGGGATCTAAATGAGTTGTAGTTTAAAAACTCAGGTCACTTGCTGCATTTCAAGATAAGTTGCATTAACTAGGTGAAGAGATGTTCAAATCTTTTCTGGTTCTTCTTATTTTTTAATCTTAGGTGAACTCTCAAAATCCACATAGTCAGCCAGCACTGTGTCAAGATATCAGACACAAAAAGTGGATAGTTTGGCTATTATGAAAATGGCTTTATTCATTATACTCTTATTATATGGTAACTAGCTTATTGAAGAGACTTTCATAATAAACAACTTGATCCTCACACTCTCTGTTTCCTTTTTGTACACAGGGATTCCTTTGAAATAGAAAAGGGTGGGGAGTGAGAGTTGTTGAAGGAAGGGATAAAGCCAGGCCTACATGGCATTCTAGTAAGTCTTAATTTTCAAGTGTTTAGTGAAGAAGTTTAGACCTATTCATTATATTTTAATTTGAAGTCTTCAAATCCTTCTTATGGAAGCTGTAAGTATTATTATGACTAAAACCTCCGAATTGTTTTGTAGCTCCAAAATGATTTTTATGAGCCAGCCTCAATAGGCTAATTTACTTTTATTCAGGAGTTGGAAATGTTAAATGTTAAATATATCTCATGCAAATTGGTGATTTTGTTGCTATTTTAGCTCTCTAAGTGGTGAGCATTATAGCTATTTGGGAATAAGGTACACATCCTACCTTTCAGTGTACAATTTTACAAGCCTCTTCATATGGCTTGCACTAGAATTCTAATATATGTTCTAAAGGGCAAATATAACGAACTAGATTATGATGCGTTTGGCACCAGCTTTTCATTCATGTTCTGAATGTTAACTATGTGAAAAACTTCATTTTGCCTTTTTATATTTTTCTAATCTCATTTGTCCCCATAAAATGCTTTGATATTGGGCTTTCTGAAATTTTCTTGTCCTGCTTTATTTCTGTGTGAATCAGTCTGTTTAGATTCTATCACAAAGATACATGATACATTAGCAACAATCTCTTTTAGAAGTACCTGAATTAGTAGAACAAGCAATGAGACTATATCCCTTATGAGGATCACTTTCTACTGGGTGCTCAAATGATAGCTTAAGAATCAGAACTTGAGGAAAATTATGAGCCTCTTAAGGCTGTTACCAAATGTAGGTCAAACCTGATAGGCTTAGTTATATGCTCTAGAAGTTTAGCCTTTCGCTTTCTGACTACTTTGGAGATTATCTTTTTAGTTACAGTATCATTGACTTTTAAAAAAAGGGGGAAAAAAGTCCAGAATAATGAGATTGTATCACTCAGGATCAAGGTGACAACTAAGGCTAGAACTAACTTGCTTGGAATCTCTGCCTTGACATTGATTTCACACCTGACCAATACCCTGCTACTCCTCCTTTCACTCAGGTAACTACCCTCATTCAAAGACAACACAATCATCTCTTTGGTTTGACCCTCCATGGAATGTAGAGGAAAAAGCAGAACTATTAGTCTCATTCTCTTCACTCTTAATCCCCAAAAGGAAAGTGTACCCTTTTCCACCCACAGCTGGTCACCTAAGGAATGTTTTGTAGGGTCAATGGGGATGCATGAAGTAGAATAAATAAAGGAAAGAAGAGTTTGAAATCAAAAGGTTTGGATTAAAATATTGGCATCTGCCACTTTATAGTTGTATTTTCTGGGGCAAGACAGTTAAATTCCCCAGGTTATCAAGATTTCCGCCTCTAAAATGGAGGAAATTGATTTCAGTCTTTTGAGGATAAAATGATATCACACACGTAAAGTGCTAGATGAACTATAAAGCAATGTGCAAGTGTTGGGGGTTTTTATTGTTCAAGCCATTTTACCTGTTGCTTTCATTCTTTGGAAACCAACAGGGAATTAAAATGGGCTAGAATCCCAGACATTTGGCTTCCCTTCTCCACTATGTGAACACAACTAGCAGGGACTAATTAAGACAACATGGACATATGTGCTTGCATTACGTCCATGTTCCTGAATGAATATGAGGCTGGGTAAATTCCTACCACTCTATCAGTTGGCATTACACCCTAAGCACATTTGTGTACAGACACACTACACACACTCACACACACACGTGCAAATCTCTAATTCTACCTGAAAAGACTTTGGTTCAACAGAGATCACAGATCAGTGATGCTTAATCTTGTGAACATTTGAATCACCTGGGGATCTTTGAAAATGTTGATATACTGCCTCACTGTAGATCAATCAAATTAAAATATCTGGAGGTGAGGCCAAGACATCTTTATTTTTTTTTAAAGATTTTTTTTCAGTTATATATGGGTATAAGAACTAGGGGGTAGGCCAGAGGTGCAAGGGGTTTGGGGGGTGAGTGGATTCACCAGAGACAGAGTGGGGAGCAGAACAGGCAGATCTACTGAAATACACTGTTGAAGGGAGCAGCGGACAAGACAGGAAAGGTCTTCTGTGCCTTGTGGGTTGCCTCCCTGGATGGGGATTGAACTCATGCTGCAGTGGCTGGTGCTGAGTTGATAGTATTGAGTCTTTAACCCCTGTGCCACCAAGGAGGCCCAACATCTTTATTTTCTACCTGGATAAGAACCACAGAATATTAGAGTTGGAAGGAGTCTCCTAAATCTACTCATTGAATGATATCATTTTCCTAAGAAGGAAATTTAGTTCCAGAAATCTTAAACTACAAACCCAAAATGAGAAAGTGTAGCTACTCTTCACTTCATGCTTAGCCTTTATTTCCCAGAACTCACTGCCTCTGAAAAAAAGTGTACTATACTAGATTTCCCTTTTGAAATTATACATGCATTTGCCTGGCTGAAAACCATGGGTTTGGAACCCACTCACAGCCCCTAGGGCAGTAGCTGTACTGACTGCACACTAGTATCACATAGGTTACAAGTGCTCTGCTCAAATTAAATCAAAATCTCTGGGGATGGGACCCAGGCATCCCTGGTTATCTTTGCCGGCTCATAGGTGATTCCTGTGAGCCGCCAAGACTGGGAACTATTCACATTGGGTGAGCACTATAGGTTTTCTACCCCTGCTTCTATATATAGCATTAATTGCTTAAATGGTTACATTAAATACAAATTTCCTAGGCTTTCAATTTTGAAGTCATTTTATACACTCACTGTCATTTTAGAGCAAACAGCAGTTCTTTTGTTTTTATAGAGTAAATGTCATATCCTTTTGTTGAGTGGTTGAATTCCAGCATCTTTGCAATTTAGTTTACCTTTCTATTATAGCAATGTAAAATAAAAGCTTTGTTTAAAATTCTAAAAGGACCCTAGTGTCAAGCAAAGGAAATCCGAATGTCATTTGCTGAGCATAAACTGGTTTAGCTCCAAGATCTGTATTCTCATCCAAAGATTATCGCTCTGATCATGGTTCCTTCCAACCTTTTGTGACCAGCTGCAGAACAGGAATAAAAAGACATTTATCCATAAGACCTGGCCAGAATTCTTAGATTGCCAGAAACTGATGGCCTGTTTCTAAAAACTCACCAAGCCCCAGTTATAATCACAACATATTTATTGACGTTTTCCCCAGCTCTCCTGTTCCAGAGGATATGGCCCAAAGGTCTGAGTGCCCCATGCCCTTCTCTGCCTGAGGCCTCTTCTGCACAGGGGTTCGATATGGACGGCTCAACCTCTAACCCTTGCCTCCCCCCCTTCCAGCCTGTCCCAAAAGAAGGAAATATCTAAATAATTGTGCATCTGTGCATTCTACAAAATACAAACTGTATTTAATGTTTAATACAACATTAAACCATATTTAGTGATATTTGAAATAAGTCAGAAAGCGACAAACATTAGGGCATTGTACTCATAAACTATGTAATGTGGCGCCACCCTTTTAAATGTATGTTATTTCCCAGTACTCCCTTTCAGCCCACCTGGACAGATTGCCCTACCGCCACCCTCCGTCTCTTAAAAGTAACATTCTCATCTGCATGTGTGTTGTTGCCTCCACCTTCCCAAATGGTACCCTCAACTGAGGGTCAGCTGAAGCCTCACACTGTACCTCAAGCCATTCTTTTTTTATTGGTGTCCTGGTCAGGGTGCCTTGGCATTGC